GGGGCGGGGGTTGGGTCTTGGCGTGACTTGGGATCTCCTGTTGTCGTTCTGTTTGTGGGGGCTTGATCAGCGCATCGCTCTCTTGACCCCGCCACACAATCGCCAACGGCTCCGCTTTTTACAGAATGAACATCGCAAACGGCTTCGTCGTGACCTACCCATCGCTGCCCGTCTACTGGCAGTGAGCACACTGGCCAGCCTGAATCCCGGGGCTGTGCGCTGTTAGCGCCGGCTTTTGCTTTGGCTGGGCGATCGGTTTGATTTAACCCTCATTATTGACTGCTGCACCACCAACGTTCCAAACAAACTCTGCCCGCCATCCCCTCCTGTCCCCAGATGGGTCAACCGCCTCGTCCCCAACACGTGAGCCGCGCGCTGCACCCAGGCCCAGGCCCGGCCGCTGTGGGACGCCACCACTGGGCTCACGTGCCGCAATCGCACTCAACTGCTTCATGTGACGACTGTCAGTATCAGCAAGCCAACTATCTCACCCTTATTCTGCCGTGTCCGGCCATCACCACTCTGCTGACCCCCTCCGCGCCCCCCCTTCAAAAAACCACCCAGGTGGGTGCTCTACGGGATCGCGGCCTCGCAGCTGTCTGACCTGGACACCCCCATCGCCTTTGGGGGCCGCACCTACGCCATGTCAGACTTCCTGGAACGCGTGTGGGGCTACACCTACGACATGCGCTGGTGGTGAGCGGGGGGCGCCTCTGCGCCAAGGGGCGGGGGGCGCCACGACTGCTGCGGCATCAGGCTAGGGATTGTGCCTTGATCGGCTTTGATTGGTGTTGGGGACAGGCGGGGGACATAGCAGAGCTTCCCACCTGAACTTCATGATTCTCTGCTGTTGGCAATGACTGATGGTGTAGTTGAGCGGTCTGCAAGGACAGCTTCAGTGTGATCTAGGTGGGCCGCTTGCTGGCTCATGACCTGGGTCCCCTCATGGCCCTGGTCCCTCGTGAACCACCTGCAACGACTCTCCTGACCACCACCCCCCACCCCGCGATCCCTCTGCCCCCCCTC